TTTCTTTTTTTTTTTAAAAAAAAATAAGAATTGTTTAATCACAACCCCTAACATATTACTGTGCAAATTCTCAGATATAGAAAAAATTTTAAACCCTTATGGCTGATTATCTAGATAGCCAAGCCTACCTAGAATTGATCAACACGCTTTAATGTACTAGCCCCCCCAAACCTCTATCAATCCATCTTGATTTCTGAGAGCTTTAATACTTTTTTATCCCACAAGTAATCCCTGACACAGGGTGAGGACTTCCACATTTCCCAGAAGGGAAAATCTAAGGATTTACAATAGCTATGACAAGAATTTGTGACTTCTGACATACAATTTCAGTGTTCCTACAATATGAAGTGAGTCATGTAGTTCCTTATGTATAGTCACTGAAAATAAGTTCACTGTCATGGTCTGTTACACTCAGTTGTGAGAGACAGAAAGTAGTTAAGTACTAACTCCGAAAATACACTTGAATTTAAAACCTGGGCTTGCCACTCACTGGCTGTGACATCTTAGAAATGACACTTAATTCTTCTAGATATCAGTTTTCTTACTTGCAAAATAAATTACTAGAAGCAATATCTAAGTGCTAAAATGAACCTTAACTGAGATGATTCACAGAATAATAGTTAATGCAGCTAGTATACAGAAAGGATACAACAAATGCTAGCAACTACAATCCTCACATTAGCCCACATAGTACACCACAATAGGCTGTAGTTGCTGAATAACCATACATAGCTACTTTAGATGACCACTGCGTACCCTGAAAACTATATGAACAGAATACTTCAGACCACATAACTATGAATTTTTATCAGCGTTGTCTAATCCAAATAATGTGCTTTCTTTACTGATTACATGTCCAAACAGCCTTTATATCTGCAGGTAGCATCTAGATTCCAGTTTTGTTGTGTAGTATAAAGCGAATATTCATAAAGCCTCTATCAGTTACATTCAGCCTTAAAGATGATTGGTTTGGGGTATAAGAATGATTCGAGGAAAAGTCTCCTCTCTCCCTCCATCACTTTCCTGGAGCTCATCTACTGGCTAAGTTGGCTGTCTCCTAAATCTCAGACCCTGGGCCCCCAGCCCTCCATGCATGTGCTAGGGCTCTGCCACTGCAGATGCTTTCCGTGGCACTCCCTATCCCCCATGACAAGATTTTAAGTTGCAGTTTTTCTTTCATAAATTGGTACTTAAAATAACACCTACAAAAGCAAGTTTCAAAATTCCTTCTCCACAAATTCCAAAGATTAGCCAAAGGAATCTGAATGTAACAGTAAAACTTCAAAGTACTAGTACATGGCTTCAGCCTACCCTACTGCTAACCCTCTAGCACTTGAGCCAAGGTTCTGTTTTTGTTTTTTGATAGTACTGGGACAAAAAAGAAAGAAAGAAAGAAAGAAAGAAAGAAAGAAAGAAAGAAAGAAAGA